GCCCAAGTGTGAGCAGTTTTGTGAAGAGACCTTGGTTGCAGAGAGGCTTGCCAGAGCCTGGGATTTACATGGGTCCTCCTAAATGGCTGCCTGGCATTGCCCATGAGTAGATCCACTGAGCTATCCAGAGCCTTCAGTTAAGCTCAAGAATGGAACAATCAGTTCAAAACGTTGAATGCCAAATTCACTTCTTTCTTTTCTTTTTTTCTTCTTGGTTACTGTTGTCAGGCTGGATCATAGATCTCTCTACACCGTCCTGTGCAGGTCGTGTGTTAGGTAGTTGAAAAAAGATTCTGGTGGCTGATAACAGGATAGACATGCTTTATTCCAATGTGAGCTCTGCCGCCAGTGGTTCAGAGCTGCTGTCTCCCATACTGAAAGTGCACAATAGCAGCAACGAGCCAAGGAGTGCATGGGTGCGCATGTGCACTAACACTACTCTTATGTAACTTGTTTACAATGGACATGCTGATAATACCCAGCTGGATATGAGGTGAGGTGGCCTGACCAAATCAACTCCACTTTCCTTACACTCCACCCCTTCAGGGTCTCTCTACATGTTTGGAATCTTCCACGATGTTCCCTTGGTGAGAATGGCTGATCCTCACCTCCATATAACCTCTGTACCTATTGTGTGTTCAATACACCTTGTGGCTTGTCCCTGTAGCGCTATCCTTTCAGCTATTATGCACAAAAACCCATACACATGTCTGGTTAGTAGTCATCATTGGGGTGATTTTCCACAGGAATCCTGCAGCCACACTGATAGGAAACTTGGTGCATATTCAGCAAGCCGACACATTGGCCACACGAATGTATGTTTGTGTCCAGTCAACTCTGGTGCCTGCAGCCACAATGCTAGGGCTGAAAAGACAAAAAGGTTGTTGGCACCAATAGAGGGAGTTCTTGTCCCTCTGGCAGAATACATGCCAGCTTACCATCCTGGAAAGAATGGTTGCAGAACAGGTGCTGCGGCTCTATGCAGCAGAGCCTCCACTGGAGAAGGCCTGCCCTTGTGGGGTGTCTCATTTAAGATCCTGTTGGCAACAACTGCTGTGTCCACCCCTTCAGGGATAGGGGTTGGGCAAATAGACTTTTGTCCCTTTTTCAGAAGACCATTGTACTATTCAATCATTCCTGCTGCTTGGAGGTGATATGGTACATGCAGTGTCCACTGAATGGACAACTGAGAAGCCCACCTCTGTACTTCATGTCCAGTGAAGTGGGTTCCATTATCACTCTCTATGTCCAAGGGCCGACTGCATATGGCTGTAAGGCTGTTCAACACCTTATTAGTGCTTACCTGGTCTGGGGCCTTACAGGACCATACAAACAGAAGACCTGTAGCTGTAAATATCTGTAAAGATACACCTGAAATTCTCTGACCTTGGCAGTGGTCCCACAAAATCCACTTGCCATCGAGTCAGGGCACCCTTGCTTGAGTTATCAGTATCTGGCACCTGCCGGTGGTGTGTACTCTCTTAAGTGCATACCAGACAAATGTGATATGTGTCTACTACATCTTCCCATTTTATAGGTATGGCCCACCTTTGTGCAGCCATCCACATGGTCTTGCAGCCAGCATGCTGCATCCGTTGATGTAACCATTGGGCTTCATCAGCTGCTGGGTCTCTCTCCAGCCATCTGACCTTAGCCAGCACGTCAGCTTCATCATTGCCCAGACTGGCTAGGGGGGAATGTCCTGTAACATGGAAAAGAGTTACTTCCTTTTCACGTCCTAATTCCCTTGAACTCTTGCCACATGGCTTGTTTCCACAGGGGTTGGTGGCCTACCATCCACCATTGATATTTCCAAGTAGAAATCCAAAGGGTAAGGCCCTTATATATGGCCCACCTACATTGTTCCAAATGGCCTAGCAGTGTTGGAGCCACCTTGGTTAAATCTGCAAGAGAATCAGAAGTTAGTAAGACATCATCTATATAATGAAACATTGTAACCATGCTGGGCCTAGTCCACTTGGCTAGGTCCCCAGCTACTAAATCATGACAGATGGTTGGGCTATGCAGGTAGCTTTGGGGCAACACTTGAAAAGTCCGTTGCCTTCCTTCCCAGGTGAAGGCAAGTGGATTTTCGCTATCAGCCAAGATTGGAATAGAGGAAAAAGCATTTGCAAGGTCCAATACATAATGATAAGTTCCCAGCTGAGTCGTCAGCTGATCCATCAAGTCATGAACTGAAGGCACAGCTGCATGCAAAGGAAGCACTACTTTGTTCAGTTCTCAATAGTCCACAGTCATTCTCCAAGTACCATCAGGTTTTTACAGTGGCCATATAGGGGCATTAAAGGGACTATGTGTGAGACGGATGATGCCAACTTTTCCTAACTCCAAGATAGTGGCACCTATCTCCGCATGTCCTCCCAGCAGGTGATACTGTTTCCCATTGACAACATGTCTTGGCTTGGGTAATACGTGTGGATCATGTTTAGCATATCCTTATAACACGGGCTTCACTGTCCATGTCCACAACCAGAATTCTCCAACCATCATTTGCAGGTGTAACCCATAAAGCACATCTATACCCAAGATGTATTCAGCTACTGGGGATACATACACAGTATTTATACGTGGGGGCAATTGTCTTATGCCCAGAAGCAAAGACACAGCTTTGACTTTAATAGAATGTCCTCCATAGCCATCAACATTCACTGTGGCCCCTGGAAACTTATCTGGGTTGCCATGTATCAGGCTACCTTCTGTGCCAGTGTCCACCAATGCTAACACTCATTGTACATTTGTCTCTGATCAATATATTGCCAGTTCAACATGAGACCTCCAGACCTCATCTGCCCCCACCAAGATGAGCATGTTGGCCTGGTCCCTAGCCAAAAGAGAACTGAAATGCTGTTTGGGACGCACTTGTTGCCACAAGGCAAACAAAACTGCATTTGGTTGCTGGTCGATTTTTTTCCCTATCAACTCCTGCTGTATGCAAGTCAAACCACATCTGCATATGGCTGGTCTTGCTCGGTCCCTTCGGAGTGAAATCACAAGCATTTCTTGGGAGTTTACTCTTAGCCACCTTTCAGACCCCCTTGCTTGTCTCTCCCCTCTGCTTCACCAAGACTGGCCATCCTGGTTATCACTTCATGTATAGGATAACCAATGTATAGGGCCAGTATGGCCATCAGCAACCCAAAGGACATCGATGCAGCATTTTGCAGCACTATGTCCCTCATGCTGCCTGTAAAGCGTTCATCATCTGTGCCACAGGTTTTCACATTAAACATGGCCTGTTGCATCCCCAGCTCCCGAATTACTTGAACCAGCTGGGCACATGTTTGCCATTTACTCAGGGTTTTAGGCAGCTCTTTGGTGCTCATCCACAGTCTGGATGGCTGCATTCACCCATTCTGTAATCACTGATGCAGGGACAGCTGCATGGTGATGGAAGACAACTTTTCCATCTCCTCACCAGAGCACATCATGCCATCTACCCCTAGGTCTCACAGCTGCAAAAGCCAAGCAGCTAGGAGTTCATCCTGTTTCTAGTAAAACTGTCTCCCTAAGTCCAACAACTCAGCTTGAGTATAAGGGACATAAGTAGTGAATTGGGTCACTTGTGGGTTGCCTGCCAGTTGCCTGCCTGGTCCCATGGGCTGTTCATGATTTAGTTTCTGATGCACAACAGGTCATGCCAGGGGATGCATAGTCTCCCCCAACTCACCATCGGTTTGTCATTGTCCCCGGTGTTGGAAGCAGGAGTGACCTGTTGCTGTACTTGAGCCTCCAGAACAAGTACCCATGCTTCCAACGTGTCTACTTTCTGTTGCAAATCTCAAATCCACACTGCTTCATGGAGTGCCTGGTCCATGTTGACTTGTAGTACAGTGAGCAACAGCTAGAGGGTGCGCGGTCAAGAGGAAAGTGGCCACGGGTACCACACACTCAAGAGTAGCCACATTTCCTCCCCTTCCCTAGGGCTAGTGGCTCCCTTACCTGCTTGGATTCCTGACAACTGCACCAATTGTCGGGCTGGATCACAGACCCCTCTGTCCCATCCTGTGCAGGTCGTGTGAGTCAGGTAGTTGAAAAAAGATTCTGGTGGCCAACAACGGGATAGACATGCTTTATTCCACACGCGAGCTCCTCCAGCCAGTGGTTCAGGGCCTCTGTTTCCCCCTACTGAAAGTACACAATAGCAGCAACTAGCCAAGGGACGCACGGACACGCATGCCCACTAACACCACTCTTACATAACGTGTTTACAACGGATGTGCTGAATCATACCCAGCCAGATATGAGGCCAGGGGGCCTGACTAAACTAACTCCACTTTCCTCACAACTATTTACTTTGCTGATATTTTTAGGAAAGTTTTAAGCAACTATTAATCAGCACTAACCAGAATATAAACATTCAATGTTAAGTATCCACAATAGTGAGAGATTTTAAAAAACAGGGGTGATTTAAATCCAAAGGTAATCTTAAAACCACTTACATGGCATGCATTAACTCTAGCCTTGAGATTTAGTTCTGCTAAAAGAAATAAAAATGATAGAATTAACTTAGCTTCATTAATTTTGCTTTATTTAGTGAAAAAAACCATACACACCCATATACACACTTTGAAGTCTCAGATATTCAAACTGCTATAAACTCAATCTTTCCAGCAGCTAAAAGAGGTACTCCATAAGTAAGAAATGTCTTAATTAACTGCTTTATCTTAATATTTCAGTTTAATTTTGTATTCTATTCTATAATGCCTCTGTTTTAATATAAAATTCTTGGAGAACTCACTCTGCTAAGATGCACCACATTTTTATGATGCCTTCACAGATGTTTCTCTGCCACAAACCCGATATGGAACATCTCACATAATTAAAATGACAGACTGACTGCCAGCTCTCCACTACATTTTTGGAGGCATCCCTACAGCAGGCAAATATTTAATATGATATGGTCATTAATTTCTCTTTAATTAAAATGTTATCCCCAGAAATGATGGCTTCTGATGGAGTTGTCTTCTTTTCCTTTGCAGGGAACATTCCAATATCTATCTTCAAAATGGCCCAGACAGAATCGGAAGAATATATAAGAAGGCCCTTTATGTTCAGTTCACAGATGGAACCTTTAAGACGACTGTAGAAAAACCAGTCTGGCTAGGGTTTTTAGGCCCCATTATCAAAGCTGAAACTGGAGACAAAGTTTATGTACACTTGAAAAACTTTGCCTCTAGATCCTACACTTTTCACACACACGGAGCAACTTACTATAAGGAGCACGAAGGTAAGTGCAGCTCACGCCGTGGCTGCGGTTTCTTCTTACTTTTCTGTAGGGGCACTTTTAGCTTCTAAGGTTGTGGACGTCCCTCTGGAAAAGGCCTGTAACTTTGTCATTTAAACAATTTTATTAACAGGTGTTTTAGTTCATCGTAATAATGCGGTGTTTCTCTTGGTTGTGCTTGTTTGTGTAAATGTGGTAGGACTTCTAGGTGGGCTCAGACAGTGACAGTCAGCGAGAGGTGGCGCTTCCTTCCCAGGGCCCAGTTCCTTTCCAGCCAGATAGTCAGAATAAGAGAAATGGACAATGTGCATTAAAGCCAAAAGAGGTAAAAATCCAGAGGGAAGAGAAAGGACTCAGGATGGGGACTGCCTTATCCCTGATGCTCTGCGTGTGAACATACTGTAGCCGTTGTCACCTCCCATCATAACTTTGAATAAAGTCTGTCCCAGCTCAGGTGGCATGAGTAGTCTCATACATCAGCCAAGTGGTGCGTGTGGCTGGATGACCTCAGAGTCACATCTGAGGCACACTTAACTGAAAGGGCCATTCGAATACAGGACTTGAAAGCCTTAAATATAGTACATGAAGAACAAAGATCAGGTTTGGTGTCTGTAATCTCATTCTCCATACTCGATGACGATGGTGAAAAGAGGTGGTGTTTTGTTGCAGTTAAGAGCGCAGACTTTAAAATGAATTGCAACAACATGGATGGACCTTGAAAGAATAATATTAAGTGAAACGAGTCAGGCAGTG